CAGAACACGTTTTGAAAAGAACTTTGTGCCTTTATTAGAATGTGCTGTGTTTTAAATATATCAGTTTTGGCAATCAAATTATTGTGAGTTTTTTAAAAGAAAAATGTATTTATTTATTTATTTGAAAGGCAGAGTTACACAGAGAGAGAGAGAGAGAGAGAGAGAGTAGACAGAGAGAGAGAGATCTTCCATCCGCTGGTTCACTTCCCAAATGGCCACAAGGCCAGTGCTGGTTTGGTCTGAAGCCAGGAACCAGGAGCTTCTTCTGGGTCTCCCACATGGGTGCAGGGGCCCAAGCACTTGGGGCATCCTCCGCTACTTTCCCAGGCGCGTTAGCAGGGAGTTGGAGTGGAAGTGGAGCAGCTGGAACTGAACCGGCGCTCATATTGGATGCTGACACTACAGACAGGGGCTTAAACTGCTGCTGTACAGCGCCTGCCCCTATTGTGGGTTTTTAAAGTAAGAAATGATGGGGCTGTGGCTGTGACGTAGTGGATAAACCTCTGCCTGCAGCGTTGGCATCCCATATGGGCTCTTGTTCCAGTCCTGGCTGCTTCTCTTCTGCTCCAGCTCTCTGCAAAGGTCTGGGGAAATCAGTGGAAGATAGCCCAAGTGCTTGGGCCCCTGCACCCGTGTAGGAGAACTGGAAGAAACTCCTGGCTCCTGGATCAGCCCAGCTGCAGCCATTGTGGCCATTTAGGGAGTCAACCAGCAGATGAAAGATCTTTCTCTGTTTGTAACTCTGCCTCTCAAATAAATAAATATTTAAATAAATAAATAAATAAGAAATGGTAATACAGAACAGTGATACTGGTCCAGCAGTCTCATCTTTACTTCTCTTTTAAAGCAAGAAATAGAATGTAAGAATCAGAAAGTGCTAACAAGGCATCAGTTAATCCAGGATACAGTTTCTTAGTTCCAAAAGCACTTGCAAAGAAAACCTTTGATGGGGAGGGAGGTTGGGGGGTGGACAATTTGTAACAACTGGAATCCCATGAATGTGTACATCAAATCTCATGAAGCTATCTTTTGAATATATCCTTACCTTGATCACTTTTTACCTTAAGTACTACAATTTTTCTCTTTTTTCTCAAAGGATAAAAAGTATGAAATATTAACAAGCTCTGGCATTGTACATGACGAAATGTATAATTTAAGCATTACAGAACTATGTACATACTGCTAAATCCCATCAAGTCTTAGATAATTCAGTAATACACAAAATACCAAGGCACAGAAAGAGCTAAACTCCGCTTCTTTGTCTTGCACATAAGATTCAAATATTCAATCTTTTTTTATTTTTATTTTTTATTTTTTGACAGGCAGAGTGGACAGTGAGAGAGAGAGACAGAGAGAAAGGTCTTCCTTTGCCGTTGGTTCACCCTCCAATGGCCGCCGCGGCCGGCGTGCTGCAGCCGGCGCACCGCGCTGATCTGATGGCAGGAGCCAGGTACTTATCCTGGTCTCCCATGGGGTGCAGGGCCCAAGCACTTGGGCCATCCTCCACTGCACTCCCTGGCCACAGCAGAGAGCTGGCTTGGAAGAGGGGCAACCAGGACAGAATCCAGCACCCCGACCGGGACTAGAACCCGGTGTGCCGGCACCGCAAGGTGGAGGATTAGCCTAGTGAGCCGCGGTCCCGGCCTCAAATATTCAATCTTAAGAAGACCACTTTATCATTTTGGCTTTCTTCTACGTGTGTGTGTTGATATACTTACTAACATATTCCTCTATAATCATGTTTGATTTTATTATTTCATGTTGTCTTATTATTTCTACATGTGTGTGCTGATATACTTACTAACATTTTCCTGTATAATCATGTTTTGGTCTTATTATTTCTTACTTTAAAAACCCCGTCATCCAAACCAGGTAGTCAGAAAGATTCCCTCTTTTCCACCTTCCTAACTCCAAGAACTAGAAAGTCAATTTTACAGCCTGACTTCCAACACTGGATTGTGATGACAAATGCTAGGTCCAATTTCTTTGCAATCCTTTTTGGCCTGGCGTTCTTGGTAGAACTCAAGCATGGAAGCCAGCATGGATCCTCCAAACCAGACTGTGTATCACTGCACGTGGAGTGTACTGACTTATACATTAGCAGGTTCTGGCTTCGATGCACCACCACTCAATTCCTCAGTTAATTTCAGCCTGGCATCTACAATTCTTTACAATCTCTCTGCAGATGACATCCAAAGTCCCCGATTATAGTTGAACCTCCAAAGAGGACAATGTTCTTGTAGAGAGGATGTCTGACATCAATAGGACAATTCTGAATTACTGGATCTACAATTTCAGAAATAGGTTGTGTAAAAAACAAAGATTTCAGGTCCCAAGCACTTCTCCTAACCAACATAGAAACTTCTTTCTTAGAGAGAGCAGTGATTTCAGTATACGGCTTACTCCACTTTGACCCATCTGTATTCTACTTGTTAGATTCCTTTGCTAAATCTGGGCAGATGTAGTATGGTGCTCCTTTACTGTCTTAGTTTCCAGGGATTGTTCTGGAGGGATTCCTACTTCTTGGTCTCTCAGCGGTTGCTGAATAAAATATGTTCTAATGTCCTGTCTCGTCCTGCTATTGGAATGTGTTTAATATAGCTGCCAATCACATACCCTTCAGCCACAGGAACCACATGAATGATAGCATCTCCACGGTCTATTACTGTACCAGTCAATATCCATTCTCAAATACGGATAGCCTGTATAGCAATGCGCAGGCCCAGAACACTGAAAGATTGATTCCAACATATTTCAACAGTATATTCTCTGTTTTTTGGAGTATTCAGTGGTGGTTCTGTCAAAAGAAAATAATGGTCTTCAGGTTCCGTCCTTAGAAAAGATCATGTTCCACCAAACTTTCTATCAAGCCCTAATCGTCCATTATACCAAGGCGAATTGGCCAGTTTGTTTGCGTATGTAGGTTTTTCTGTTGTTTCATCACCAGTGATGGAGGCTAGATTGTCCAAACCTCTCATGGCCCTCCTTTGAGCCTGATCATCCACTTTTGCTGACTCCTTAATAGCAATACAGGAAGGAGATGCCTGTATTTCCAACATGTCCTAGTTTTGTATACCTCATGCCACAGTCCACCACACAGGCCAGCAGGCGTCCTGTCATCTTCCTCCTCACCTGCTGCTGTCTGCTCCGTGCTGGTTGGGGCCAGAGATTGGTGGCAGGAGATACAAGCTCTCTCTCCATCCACAGCTGAGCTGCCCTCTCTCTCCATCCAGCAGTTCCCCCCTAGGAAGCCGAATCAGGAGCCAGAAGGTAGCAGGCTTGATCAGAGGCTACCTACTTCAGCAACCTAGGCAGCCAAACAGTGCCAGGACAGCCCTGTCTTGGCCTCGTCCCCTTTTCTCTTTGCTCTTCCTCATTCCCGCCCCCACTGTCAAGCTTCACTTTTCATAAACCAGCATATTTACCCAGTTCCCAGTTGGGGCTATTTCCTGATTGTCCTACCATCATACATCATAGTTTAATGTATATACTTGGACATATATCTTTTTGCATTTTTGGAGCTATGTCATTGAAGCAGATAACTTAGAAGTGAAATTGTGGATCACAGGATAAATGCATATGTCTCTTTGTGCCAAGTTGCCCTTCACATTTTTCCATTCTCATCAGCAATGCTGCGTCGTAGCCTCAGCCAATCTGGTAAGTGTGAAGTGGTCTCTCTGCACACTTTTGTTAATTTCAGTTAATCCTCATTGAATTAAGGTCTATTTGCATTTTTTCCATGAACTGTCTGTTAGTATCTCCATTCTCGTTTTCTTTAAGACTGATGTTTTTCTTCTCCATTTTTCTGAAGTTCTACATTCCTTCCCACTTTATTTCTCTTTTTATTTTACTTGTGGTATTTTAAAAGTGGAATAAACTATTGCAATCGTTCTTATTACTTATGGATTTTAAAACATAGGGGAATTTTTGCAGCTTTCAGATTATACAGGAATTCACTCATGTTTTCCAGTGGGTATTAAATGTTTATTTTTTAAAATTTAAATCTGCTTCATTTAAAACTTAATTTAGTCTATCCTAGTTTTTTCAGCAAGACTGTATAGTTAGCCCACCCCAAGCACATAAAGGTCCATTTCTTCCCCTGCCCCATGGACTTGAAATGCTTCTTTCACTGAATATTTAAATTGCAGGAGTCTGTGTTGTGGCCTAACTGGTAAAGCCGCTGCCTGCAGCACTGGCATCCCATATGGGCGCCGGTTCATGGGTTCGTGTCCCAGCTACTTTACTTCCAACCCAGCTCCCCACTAACGCACCTGGGAAAGACAGCAGAGAACAACCCAAGTGCTTGGGCCCCTGCACCCACATGGGAGATCTAGAAGAAGCTCCTGGCTCCTGGCTTCGGATCGGTGCAGCTCCGGCCGTTGCGACCATCTGGGGAGTGAACCAGCAGATGGAAAACCTCTCGCTCTCTCTAACTCTGACCTTCAAATACATAAGTAAATCTTTTTAAAAAATTGCATGTACAGTAGGACCTAGTTCTGGATTTTTAGTCTTTTCTATTGGTGTATCTATGTACCGGTATCAAAATATTGTCATTTAAAGGGTATGTAATATGCTTTTATGTCTATTATTGCTAGACTCCTTAACCATTACTTGTCTTTTATAGGTTTTCCTGGTTATTCATACTCATTTATGACTCTAAATGATTTTTATAATTAACTTGTCAAGCTCCAGAAAAAATGCCTGTTCATATATTTTTCATGTTGGTTAGGATTGGGTTAAATTTATAAACTTGTGAATATCTGACGTCTTATTAGATTAATTGTTTAAAATGTTTTTGACATACACAATTGTCCATATTTGTGGGGTGCCCAGAAATGGTTTCATACATGCATTCATTGTGTAATGCACAACTCATGGTCCTTAGCACTTCTTCGCCTCAAACATGGATCTCTTTTTGTGGTGAGACTATTCAAAAAACACTCTTTTAGTTACTTTGAAATAGATAAGATATTAATATTTTTTTGGCTTTTTTTTTTCAGCCTATTCCTGCTTGTAATGTATCAAAATTCATGGTGATCAAAGAGTTCTGGGTTGCAAACAAGAATATATTTTGTGCACCTGTATGTCATTCTTTGTCTGCAAGTTGAACAAAAAACATAAACAAGGGCAGTAAGACATTATTGTTGACTACAGTCACCCTACCATACCATGCCATAACTTGTTTCTCCCATTTAACTGTAGTTCTGTTGAGTCTTTAGAATAAGAATATGCTATGCATTTCCATTTATTCATGTATTTTTTTTTGCTCTTTCAGAAAGTTGCATAGTTTTGCTCACATATTTTGAATAGTTCTTGTGAAGTTCTGGATTTTTTTTTTTACTATTGCACAAAATCTCGTATCTCCAAATAGATCTTCTAACTGATATATGTATATGTATATACGATTTCTCAGTCTTTATATCTTAAATTTCATCACCCGTTTCTCAAGCTTAAGTTATAAGTTTAGGTGAGTAAATGTGATAAATTGAGAGTTATTCTTCCCCTCTGAAGGTGTTACTCTTTGTTCATTGCCATTAGTGCTGCTAATGAAAAGTCTTCTTTCAGTCAAATGGCTGTTAACACACACGGATGTATAATCTTCCCTTTGTCACTTTTACTCTGACCTTTTCATCTTTGCTTTGAAAGATTTCGCTTTGTATTTGTTTAATTGATTGTATTATATGCTAACCATACTTCTGGTTCTGTGCGGTCAAGCTGTTTTTCATTTGAAAGATTTTCATTAATTTTATCTTCTAAGTATTGCTTCATGCCATACCCTTCATTCTCACCCTCTAAAAATCGCATTCTACAAATATGGCAGCATCTCAGTCTGTCTTTTATAGCTTTTGTCTTCTCTTCTGTATTTCTATTTATTTTTATTGATCTGTCCCATCCTGCATTCCTCAGAGATTTTTCATAATTCAACAATTTGCTCTTTTGGTGTAGTCTTTTATATTAAAAATTTTCTGACTTTCTGAGATTTAATTTCCAAGATTATAATGGGTTTGTTTTCAAATATGCCAGGTCTTTTAAAGTATCTGTTTTTAGTTCTTAATTCTTTTGTCAGTTAGGCGCATTTAGCACACTTATTTTCAAATTTTCATCATACTGTTATATAATTTCCTATAGGGTGAATTTCTCTTTCAACAGTTCACTTTGTTGATTGTCTTAAATTGCATTAGAGTTCTTGTATTTTGAAATTTTGTAGCCTCTTTTTGTTTCTTTCTCTTACTTGCCTTTGTATTACTTCCCTTTATTTTTTAATTTGCCTCTTCTTGTCCCTCTGTGATCCCAGTACAAAGATGGTTCTAACAAATGACATTTTGGGGTTCTTTCCTCACCCTGATCTCAGGAACCTGACAAATTCAGTCAAAGCTAGCAGGTGGCTTAGTTCAACCCCAGATTCCAAGGCTCTGTGTCTTTCCTTTTACTTCTCTGGACCTGCAACTTGATTCTAGTTGTAGCCTCAGGCAAAAATCTGCATAATTTTTTTAGGCTCCTTCCATAAGGGATGAGTTAAGATCGGACTCCCCTGGCCCCTGGATTCACACACTGAGCCTGCCTGCATTTCCCTGCCTTGTGTATATCATTCTAGTGTCCTTGGCCACACTGTAGCTAAATTTCTGCCTACCATTGCTTATTCTTGGGTTCAGAGTTCAGCAAACCCATAGCCTCAACCCATCTCTAATTCATGGATATCTCTCTTGTAGTTAATATCAGCTACATTTTTTTTTTCATTTTTCCATCACATATAATTACTATGTATTGGGGTCAGACAGAGTTTTCACAGGAAGCATCACTAAAGATGGTTGGTTGCAAGTCCATCTAATGCTGATTCTTTTTGTCATTTACTCTGGATTTATTATCTATTGTGGCTGCATATGACTGTCTCAATCTAGGTCACTTGCCTGCAGCAATACTTTAAGGGAGCCTAAGAATTATCTGGTGTTTTCAGCTCTTATATATATAGAGGGAGATCTACTTCCCACCAAAACTCATGATTTGGTGATTTCCCAAACTTGGAAAGGGGATTCAGATTTAGAGCTGCCAATCAAAGTATCTACTCACACTATAGCATACAACCTGGAAACATTTGAAGACAAATCTTCTATCTGACCATTACATATATTTCTTCCTTTCTATACTAAACCACATAAATACTCAGACATCAATGAACTAAAGTTTGATCTCCATGCAATGTAGAGCTATAGACCCTACAAAGTAGCATGACCACATGAAGCAGGCTTTTTGCTAAACGTATGACTTGAAATTTTACAATGGCCTGATTTTATACTTTATAATAGCTTTTAATCTGCATTGGTTGGAACTCTAGAGGCCCATCTGTTCTTAACAGAAGACTTTGTCAACTTTATATTTTTATGGCACTACTGTAATTGCAGGTTTTTGTGATATTTGTAGAGTTTGAGCTGAATATAATGAGAAAAATAATCTATAAAAAGGTTTGGGACACCATCAACTTTTTAGCAGTTACCATGTGAATCACAGATGCTAGGGACATTTAATGATTTAATTATATTGAACTTGAGGCTCTCTTTCCAGTTTTGAAACTTGAAAACTTTCGGCATCAAAGGTAATGGGTAAAAGAAAAAAGAATGGGATTTCTAGATCCTGTTTCCCCTCCTATGTAAGACAAAGTTTCCATTGCCTTATGCCCACTGGGATAGATTATGAAAGAAAGAAAGGTGGGAGTCAGGGAAGGGGAGAGAGAGGGAGAGAGGGAGAGAGGGAGAGAGGGAGAGAGAGAGAGAGAGAGAGGAAGGAAGGAAGGAAGGAAGGTTGGTTGTTGTCCCATGGGTTCTATGAGAATCTACCTTTATAAATTCTGTATATAAAATGAAAGTGTTGAAGGAGAATTCTCTTGAACCTTTGTTGATGGCTCCAATCTTTTTCTTAATAAGCCAATTGTGAATGAATATTCTTCCCCAAGACCTATACCTGTCTCTATAATGGTCAAGGTTTGCAGATTCTCTTTCCAGATTTTGGAGTATCACTGAAATTCCAACATGGTATTTGATTTGCTTTCCATACTGATTTTCATTAATAATTAAGGCAACATCTGACTCTGTGAAGCAACACTGTGAGAATATTAAAGCATTTCACCTGAGATGATAAAGTACCTGTAAAGATCATTTACAGTCTCTGCAGTATGACTCATTACTGCTTTATATTCTGGGGGAATTTTCTTTATCTTTTGATTTCTGTTTTAGGGATCATGCCCCTAGAACATGAGCATGAATTTTCCATGTATTCAAGAGATGAGCAGTTCTACTGATAGACTGGAATTTGGTGATGCTCTCTCATCTCCTTCTCTGAATATTTGCCCCTATGATGTTTCTCCTTAAAAAAAAAGTGTACCACCTCAAACTGGATATTGGTTAAGAATAAATTCTCTGTATTTTAAATATATATGACACTACTTTGGAGTACTGAAAGTGTTCTCAAGGTAGAGTTGGGATATAAACAATCTTGGGATCCAAGTTGGGGAGTGAACTAAGAAATGTGTATTTTATAGAGCTGGTGCTGTGGTTTAGCTGGTAAAGCCGCTGCCTGCAGTGCTGGCATCACATATGAGCACCAATTCGAGTCCTGGTTGCGCTACTTCTGATCCACCTCTCTACTATGGCCTGGGAAAGCAGTGGAAGATGGTCTAAGTCCTTGGGCCCCTGCACCCATGTGGGAGACCAGGAAGAAGCTCCTGGCTCCTGGATTCAGATCAGCACAGCTCCAGCCATTGTGGCCATTTGGGGAGTGAACCAGAGGATGGAAGACCTCTCTCTCTCTCTTCCTCTGCTTAGGAAAAGCAACTAAACAGGAACTCAGAAAGAGAAAGCAAGAGCTAGAGCAAGAGTGAGAGCAAGAATGATAGAGAGAGAGAGAGAGAGAGAGAGAGAGAGAGAGAGAGATGGAGAGAGACATGGAGAGAGGGAGAGAAAAAGAATCCTGCACCTGCTAGCTAGTTCACTCCCCAAATCTCAAATGCCCACAGCTGCAGGGACTGGGCCAAGCTAAAGCCAAGAATTTGGAACTCAATCCAGGTGTCTCATGTAGGTGCCAGGGATCCAGGGACTTGAGCCGTCACCTCCCACAGTATACATCAATAGGAAATCATATTGGAAGTGGGGTAGCCAGGACTCAAATTAGCCATTGTGATATGAGATGCAAATGTTCCAAGCACCATCTTAACTGATGCACTAAACACCCACCCTTACACAGATTTTTTTCATGATGGTGAAACATAGAAATATTTTGAAAATATTATCCATAGTGGTATATTTATAGTGGAATAAATATATAATTTATTTAATTAACCCCATATATGTGGTTATATTCTTTCTCTTTTTTTAAGGGGAAACAATTTATTTTAAGAAGTTAGCATCTTGGGGAAAGAGATATCTCTTAATATAAATATGGAAAATAACATGAACATAAATTAGTGCTGTATTTAAGAAAGGTACATTGTCACTTGGCATCCACAAAGTGAAACTGAACACTATTCTGTCACTAAATCCTAACTCCTTGGCTTTTCATCTTTGAAGCAGTGATTACTGTAAGTCTATACCAAGCTTACATACAAGCAAATAATCTAAACATGCCACTTGTCATTTTTTTAAAGATTTATTTATTTTACTTTGAAAGTCAGAGTTACACAGAGAGAGGAGAGGCAGAGAGAGGGAGAGAGGTCTTCCATACAATGGTTCACTCCCCAATTGGCCACAATGGCTGGAACTGCGCCAATCCAAAGCCAGGAGCCAGGAGCTTCCTCCAGGTCTTCCCACAAGCGTCCAGGGGCCCAAGGACTTAGGCCATCTTCTACTGCTATCCCAGGCCACAGCAGAGAGCTGAATCGGAAGTGGAGCAGCCGGCACCCATACGGGATGCCAGCGCTTCAGGTCAGGGTGTTAACCCGCTGAGCCACCCGCCAGCCCCGCCACTTGTCATTTTGCTCAGTGTTTTCAGAATTAATATTAAGCTGTTTTATTTGAGAGGGGAGAAATAGATTTGAATCATGAGTTTAATCCCTTTACTAGGAGAAGGCCCTGGTCACACTACAGTAAATATGAGTAACAAAAACAGATGAAGATAATTAAGAAATTATCAATTCCCAACTT